TTTATAACTTGACCAAGATTTGTAAGACCATTTGAATTTAGCAGTTGAAATCTCTTCAACATATGGTGTAACACATAAGCATCCTAAAATAATCAGTACAAACCTGCTGCTATGAATTCATATTATTATGACCCAAGTTAAATCTTTTAAAAATATCATCATTTTGAAAAACTGTGTATTCATTTGAATGTTTTTTTTAAATATTGAAAAAATATAAGTGTGATAAAATAACTTTTAGAAACAATCTCTGGATAAATTTGAATAAAAAACTACCTATTCCTTCTTCAAAAACCACTTTCATACCCCCTGATTCAGCGTATCTTTAAGAAGCACACTACCTGCAGTTCTAATTTTATTTTTTTTCCCCCAAACAACTGCTTTACATTTAATTTCTTTCAAAAAGTATACATTTACAGTTGTACACACATATTAAAGCATCAACATTACTGTTCATAGTTAGAGTTTAAGATTGTAGACTTTTACACTACCCCCTCCCAAATAGCAAGATTAGCACTATATTTTGTAAAATCACAGGAGACGGCAATTTTATCAATAAGTTGAAAATAAATGAAAAACAGGCATAAATACTACCAGTGAGCTTCGCGAGCGTAGCGAGCGAAGCGACAGGTTGGCAACGAGTTTTCTCGATTTTCTCTAATTCGCTATCCAACCAACATCAAACACCAGATATCAACTCCGAAGTGTCCATTAATTAATTCCTGACATTTTTTACCATTCAACTACCCTACATTATCAATTTAATCACACTTCTTCAAATCTAGTTTACAACCAGCGGCCATTGACAATTCTGCGTGACGTCACATACACTTCAGAAAATATTAATTCATCAAATAGATACATATGTTATTAAAAAAATATTTACCAATTCATTGTGGTTTTCTTTATTTTTTTAATGTTTAAATAACCAAAAAACATTAACCAACTCTATCCCTAAGAAAAATTGGAATATGCTAATTCAAAAAGAAAGGGGGATAATCATGTACTTTCATTTGCGGGAAATTTGAAAAAGGTTATTGAAAATCGTTTCAAATAGCTTATTCAAGATAGTTTAAGATGTCCAACAACTTTGGAGCTTCTGTTTGGTAAGTAGATTTTTTAAAATCACTTAATAATGCTGAAAACACATTAAAAGAGAACCGAAGTTTTGATATTGCCTAAAAATAAAAAAAATGTGGTGTTTACTGCAATGTCACACAGTTTAAAAAAAGATTACACATACACACATATGCACAATAAAAATACTTCAGAACAATGTCTACTCTTATATACATTTTTAAACAGTAAAATATAAATAATAATAGAATTTGGATAACAATTGGGGAAGGTAATTTTAGCATGAACACCACATTTTTTACTCTGAGTCTTTATCAATCTGAATAAGAGAAAATAAAAATACACTGTACATATTTAGGGTTCGAAATTCACTATATACAACTCGCAAAACGCAAGTTAGAAGTCCCAAATTGCGAGTTAAAAATTAGGTAACTCGCAAAAACTTGCGAGTTGATTTTTTTTTTTTTTTTTTGCATTGAAACTATAACAAAATTATATAATATGACAGAACACAATTTGCTTTTGATTTTAATCAGTAATTTAACTAAAACTTAAGTCACACTGTAGTTGTATTTTGTGTTTTGTACAGTAGTTACTTTTTCCTTAAGTTACATGTATTTAATTTATACAAATTTAACTTTATATGAAAATTGCGAGTAGTCTTATAAAATTGCGAGTTCACTTTCTTGGTACTCGCAATTATTTGCAAGTTGTAATTTTAGGGAGTTTCTAACCCTGCATGATATGTAGCATAATCACAAAATTTTGAAGTTAGAAAAGAATATTTCACAGTCTCATGAAAGTTTATCAACTTGATAATCTTAATAAATTTTTCACATGTTTAGGCCACTCCAATTTTTTTCTCTGTTCAGCGTCCTCCATCTTTCAAAACCTACCGACTTATTCACAAAAAACACAAAACCCAAAAATATAAAACACAGCCTTCATAAAAATGACGTCATATAAAGGAATACATATCATTAATCTTTCTTTCTCATAGAAAGATATATATACTTCAGCATTTAATCAATGTATCAAATGCTTAAAATGAACGATATATTGTAGGCAAATATTTGAAGAAATTGACAGAATTTAAAGATTTTGACAAGTATAATAAATTTTAGGACTACTGATTTAGTTTTTTCCCATATGAGGTGTGGAAAACCAAGATCCATGTGGACGATGAACTTAGAAAAAAACATGGAATGGCCTTACTCCTTTATATAGTGGATATAGCCCATATGATATTATTCAATAGTCTTGATAACTTTTTCAATGCTTACTCTTTTACAAAGTGGATATAACTCATAACAGTGTGCACACTGATCATTCAGAAAGGGGTGGGGGATAAATTGTCTATATTTTTCAAGTTAAGAAATTTATTTGTTCTAAGATTTGCTTTCATATGGACTCGTAACAAGTCACACTTGAACATGTTAAACTGAATTATACACAATTCATATATTACTTGTTTTAAAAACATTTCATTATATGAAATTTACTTCTTGTACACAAATATTGACAAGGAAAAAGAGAGATAACTCTTGTATATATATAAAACCAACAGAAAAAAAATTGTCTGCAATTCATATTTTGGCTGAATTAAGAATCTCTACCGTATTGTTAGTCTTATATAATTATATGATTGTTTACCTATTTTTTTGAAGAACGTTTACCACGTCCCTTTCCTTTTTTGCTACAGCCTGAACAGTACCATGTTGTACTTTTCTTTCTCAGAAAGGCTTCATTTCCCTTTAAATTCACACATTTATAGTGGAACCATGTATTGCATTTATCACATGCAATGCTCTCATCCCCTATATCTGTTGGCTCCCACTCACAGTTACATTTGCAAACATTACACGAAAAAGATTCTTCTTCTTCTTCTTTCTCATCTATACTTTCTTCTTTTTATTGTCTTCCCTCTCACATAGGGCTTGAACTTTTGTTCTCAAGACTTGTTTTTTCTTTCGAGGAACAGAGCGTTTGAAATTTCGAAAAGCATCAACATATGAAATCATAATAAAATGCTCTGTAACATCACGATAGAGTTCCATAACTAAAGTTATAAAAATTTCATCATCTACTTCTTCATTTGAAACCTCTGCATCATTAAACAAAGAAATCCACTCATCTGCTAAATTCATGTCAGAATCTACACTTCTACGGACGACATTATGCAAATCTTCATGAAAGAGATGGAAATGCTCTGCTGTCAATTTCTTTTGTACAATTTCATGAAGTGATTTAAAGAAAGAGAACACAGACTCACTCACTACTGTCAATCCCCTGGTTGGTCCTTGCGTATATTCAATCTCTCTCATGCTCTCCTCCCCTTCATCAACATCAACTTCCCTTATCCGAAAGTTTTTCAACATTGTTTGCTTTCTATATTCTAATTTTCTGAGAATTCTACTATTTTTGGAACATTTCCCAGCTTTCCTCAAAACAGACTCTTTCATTCGTTTTGCAACCTTTTGAATACAGGCTCCAGCAAGGTACCGTAATTTTGCCAGTGCTGCTGCAGATAACCCTGGAGAACTTTTGGCCTTTTCTGTCTTCTTGATATGTTCCTGAATAACATCTTCTGCTTTCTTTCCTACTTCTTTATCCATGAACCAAAGAACAATTTTTGTAGACAACTTGAATTCCTCTTTAGTAAGTTCATTTTTCTGAAACATTGTTTTCACTGAAGAAGTATGTTTATCACTTAAAAGAAAAGTGTTCATTTCACTATAAGCAACAGTCCAATCTTGTGGTGATTTGGGGGTTTTACTCAAAATGTCACTCACGTGATAATATAAAAATTTCACATGTCTTTCAAATGACAGAGAGTGAAAGAAGTCATTTGAGAAATCCATCACGAATGGACATTTCTGGTTTGCTGTAATAATTCGTGTATATCCCAGGGTGACTCCATTTCAGGGAAATCTCCGCTTGATTCAAAAATTGGACCAGACAATCAGGGTTCCCCTGATGTAGAGGGCTCATCACTTAAACTCTGAGAGGAAAGTTTTGATATGGTTGGTTTGTCACAACAATGCAGATCTGTGAAAAAGTCTGTAAAGGGGCTTTCATAAAACTCAAAAACCTCATCAGGATGTTTGGTAAATGCAGCTGTAGAGTTGAAGTTCAACACTCTTAATCCACTAATCCTGGTAGCTCTGCCAACTGCAACTCCCATTTGACCAGGAGCAAAGAAAGAGAAGCAGTCTACTTCTACTAAGTCTAATGTTTGCCCCTGCGCTCTGTGTACTGTTAATGCAAATGCTAGTAAAACAGGAATCTGAGTTCTAGAGGCTAATGTCCGCCGTTGCTGTGGGTCATAAACATCAAACTTTACTTTTAGTATTTCAAATAGTTTTCCATTAAAATTGATGATTGGGTGTTTGTCATGTTGAAATTTGTGAACAAATCTTTTCATACCATTATAGAGTCCATCTGCAATATTCTTTATAAGAATAACCTTGGCACCCTCTTTCAAGACCAAGCGCTTTGGAGCAGTACAATCACGCAACATTCTGACTTCACCTGAAATTAAACAGAGAAATAAATATAAACATTTTAATATCATTAATATTAAAGAATGTTTGTGCAACTGCTTCTAAAAATAGACTGATCTGCATATAATATAACAGTATTATTGAACCCTTATATATGTAATCTATAGGACTTAATGTTCTGTACATTAAGTCCTAGAATGCATGTCCCCAACTGCATGCATTTGTACCTGGTGTCTTAATTCTCTTACCAACACATGGAATCTATTTCAAATATCCCAATACAATAAAAGTTCATTAACAAATTGACATTGTTATTCTTAAATAATCCATGCATTTATTACTTGAATTTATGAACTGACCTATTTTAATGATAATAAAAAAATTCTTATTAAATACAATAACATGTACCTTCACCCGTTGCTTTGTAATGGAATGTTGCCCCAGGCATCTCCTCCAAGGTGTCCTGATTGATCACGCTTGCATCAAAATTTGCGCCAAACAGTTTCGTAACATCCTGTGCGGGGGCATCTAGAGACCTGTCAAGGCTTCGCAGAAACTACATCGTCTCCTCAGACGGCTCCCCATCACAGAGCTCGTTCACAGCTTTAATCAATAGAGGCTCACTTTGCCTAACGACCTAACAGAAATTTAAAAAAAAATATTGACATAAATTTACACATCAATGTTTTAAGAGTCCATCTTCACTCTTCACATAAAAATGGTGCAAGATATACTTAATCCTACCTCATGCAAATTGATATGATGAGGGGAGGTTGAAAAGAAGTTCGCACTTTGAAAGCAGTACTGTCCGTCATCCTGGTATCTACGATTAGGGACAGGTAGTAATTGTTTGAAATCACCACATCCTATGACCTATAGTAAAGAACCTAAAATTAATTAAAGTGAAATAAATATTGTTCATGGATAAATGACATTTTCAGCAAAGTTCTCATATAAACATTACATAATACAGTGCATTAGTGTGTGTTAATGAACATAATGCAATGATCATGTGATGACGTCACATAATCATGACATTATAAATCATGTCATTAATTAGAAAAGAAACTTACATGTACTTTTATTCTGTTTGTTATTTTTTTTCATTTTGAACATACCTGTATCCCTCCAAAAACACTGTTATTTTTCTTCCAAATGCGACAGACAAATTCCACCATGTCAAAAGCAGCTGCTGACAACATGCTTATCTCATCTATTATCAAGCATACTGTGCGTTCAATTCTCTTTTTCGCTGCTGCAAAATTGTCGTCATTCTGGAATAGTTCCTCGAGGGCAGCATGGGAGTATCGACCATCATATATCCCTGACCAATGATGAAGCGTGGTCGCTTCATCATTGATTCCTTGAATTAATTCCTTAATTCTTAATTCTGCTACATAATTTGATAATTGATTTTTATTTATGAAACATATACATTTTTTAAGGTAAAAGTGCTCACATACATACCCCCCCCCCCCAAAAAAAAAAAAAAAAAAAAAAAAAAAAAAACATGGGAAAGGCTGTTTACTTAAGGGACAACCATTTGATTTTGGAGGGGTTGGGGACCAAGAGGGGGTGGGTCAAATTTTGTCAAGTCAGCTCATTATGCCCCCATAATCAAGATTCCAGGGTATATATTTTTTGCTCTGTGGATCCGTTTGTCTGTCTGTCTGTTTGTCCAAACACTTTAACCTTGCCCATAAGTTAACTTTTGATTCCTTGGAACTATGGTTTTAATATTTCACATGTGTATTCCTTGTGACAATTTGAGACCTTCCTTTGGGTATCAACATATTGGACCTCTTGACCTTGACCTTGGAGTTTGACTCACTTTTGCAAAAAAAATAACAAACTTTAACCCTGACTAAAACTTTCATATTTCACATGTGTATTTATCGTGACAAGACCTTTCCATATTTTTGACATTGACCTTGGAGTTTGATCCACTCTTAAAAAAAAACTTTAACCTTGGCTATAACTTTGAACAATTAATACTAGGGCTTTCAAATTTTACAGGTAAATTCCTTGTGACAAGACCTTAGTTTGGATACCAACAATTTTGACCTTTTGACCTTGACTTTGGAGTTTGACTACTTTTGAAAAACTTTTAATTTCTGCCATAAGCTTCCATATGGGGGCATCAGTGTTTTACAAACACATCTTTGTTTTCATGCTTCTGTAGGATATTGTACCCATATTAATTATTTTTTGTAAGATGATTAGAGAAAGATAATTCATTTCTTCCCTAGAAAATGACAAAAAGAAAAAAATATGGTGTATGTTCCAAACTAGAAAATTATATTTCAGGGGTAAGTGGGTGTGTGAGTGGTAGGGGAACCACCAGTCACAGTTAGCTATCAGATAATTTCCTTCCAAGTCAAGGATAGGTGAATTATTCTCATCAGATTACTTATTTCAAAAATCTGCTAGACTTCCCAACACCCCCCTTCTGAAAGAAATGGTTATCCTCTTAACATCCATATCAGTCTTCTTAAAGAATAAACTGTTATTAATAGCAAATAGGACTATAATTTCAACTATAAAAATTCCTAGACTCATATTTTTAATTTAGGCTGGCCTTGAATTTAGAAGCAAAGACGGATGGAATGTTTGTAAGCCTTCGAGACATCCATAATGCCTGTGTGCAGGCAATCGGAGCAAATGCACCATGCCCTGAGACACTTAGCAAACTCATAAGAAGACTTTTTGATGTCGAGTCAACATGTCCTAAGAAGGTGATGAAAGGAGACAAGGGGGTCATTCTGTTCAAAAATCTTAGTCCAAGAGTAGTTACAGCCAACAATAGCTCTGTACGGTTACCACCTATGTGTACAGTACAAGAAACATTAATATTTTTTTGCTTTTAACTGTCCGCTACCATACCTCAGAGATAATGTTCGGTAAATTGCACAGTTGGATTTGAACCAGGTAACTTCTGGATGCAAGTAGAAGAAAAAAAAATATCCACTGGCATCTCCGTTCCCCTAACTCAGTCAAACATAGATGGAATTATTCACTTAATTTCAACTTTAAATGTCTGCAAAGGCTTTCGAAAAGATGATGATTATTTTCCAAAATCATTTAACGAGGAGAAATTCTCCGCTACTTTTGAGGCGGAACATGTTTCTGTTATGCAATCAGAGTACTGCAGCATTTTCCTGGAATGGTTGGCTAAACAGGATGTATGTTCCTCCTGCAACATTTCTAGAGTCAGGAAAACAGTGAGAAAAAGGAAGTACCCAGATAGCAGTAAGGACGAGGAATTTAAAGAGAATGTAAAAGTTCAATGTCCTCTTGAAATGGAAAAGGATTCCACTACGGTGAAGAGTATATTGAAAGAAGTGAAGCAGAACATTCAGAGTTCAAACAATGCAACACTTGTCGAACAATCCAATAAGGACTGCAGAACAGACAGTATGTTTAACCAAAACTTGACTTCCGAGGAAAGTGTTGCCCCCTTTATTCTAAACATCAGGACCATAAGGACATGGAAGACCTAGTCAATCTAGTTCTAAAGCAAGAAGGATTACCAGAGCATTTTGGGATTTTATTAAAATCACAGCTTCAGAACTGTGCACGTCCAGATTTAGAGAAACGTCAACGACGTTGGGATCCGAAAATTATTAGCCTCTGTTTAACTTTATATATTCGTTCGCCACAGGCATATGAAGACTTGAAGAAATCAAACTTCTTAGTTAGTATTGCCGTCTAAACGGCTACTGCGTTTTTACAAGAACTCTGTAAAACAGACTCCAGGATTTTGTGAGGAGAATTTGTTGTGGATGAACAAATAAATGGATAAACAGAATATTTCTGAGTTTGGAAGACATGGTGGTCTAATTATCGATGAGATGACAGTTCAAGATGATCTTATTATTACAAAATCAGGTGATGGTTGGAATTTGATTGGATTTGTTGATATGGGAAGTACAAACAACAATATAGACATCATTTGTAACGGAAAGAAAGAGATGAAACTAGCCACACATGTTCTTCAAATTGTCTTCCATGGATTAACTGGATTCGGGTAAATTGTGTTTAATATGTATTGAAATTCACTATGTTTAAAATCTTAAATGAGCTATACTGAGTGCAGTCATACTGATTAATATAGAAACATATATTCTTTCTAACAGATTTCATTAAGTCATTGTCAGTATTACATGAGTAAGTAACAGGGTGATCACTCTTTTTACAGGTGGCCAGTAGTGTATTTCGGATCTAATCCAGGGACAGCACACCAAATCTACAACATTTTTTGGAAATGTGGGGATAGGAATGTTCATGTGGATTATGTTATGACAAATGGAGCTTCAACAAATCGAACGTTTGCGGGGATGTTGTTCGCTCAACCCGAGACACCCAGAAGTTCTGATTATGTTTTCAAAGACATATTCTTTTCAAGATGGTGTATATTCAAGATGTGATGCATTGCCTTGAGAAAATACGAAACAATATAGAATCAAGTAAGTTACAACACAAGACAGAGGCAGGAAGATATTTGCTCCTTGGAAAAAAAATGTATTGTTTGCGAACATTGGGAAGAGAGCTTTAGTTTTAACTTTCAAGGTGGGTTTTCCATTTATAGGAAGCTTACAGAGGAACATATCAACCTTACACGTGTAGCAAAGATGAGAAATGAACTTGCTATACAGGTTCTCAATAAGGACATGCTGTTCTTGATGAAATCGTACCAGTCCACCCTAAAAAATCCAGAAAACCTTGCAGCAAGCATCACACTTCTTGAACATACATCACAGATAGTCGACAAATTCTGCACAACCAGGCAGCCAATTACTTCTTTGGATGACAAGAAATTTGAGTCTATTAAAAAAAACTCTCTTTCTTCAATTCATGGGAAGAGGAAGTGGAAAAATCTGTGATGCACGTGACTTCGATAAATCTAATGACACAAGAAACGAGAAATGACTTAAATTCCTCCTTAATGGGATTTGTTTCCTTGCGTAAATTAAGGTTGAATGGGAAAACAGCATTAATTCCGGCTACCTAAATTCAGACATAGTGGAAAACTTATTTGGTCAACAGAGAGGTATTAGAAATGGTCTAAATACAAATCCTACACTCGCGCAATATTGTCCATCGAACACTGCGATACTTCTTGGACAATGTACAGTATCAAACAAGTCAAACTCTAGTCAGAAAGCCTTATTCTTCTCTGCTACTACTCCTTGTGCGCTCAACACTGTGAGAAAAGTCCAATAAATCAAGAAGAAGAGGGATTCGTTTATAAACTAAAGGTATGAAGACTATAGTACTAAGACAATTTTAAAAATGTTTGTTTTCCCTCTGGTAAGTGACAAACAAAAAAATACCTCACTCAAATGTTTTTATCAGATTTCTGAGCATCTTTTTTTAAATTTACAAAAAAGTTGTTTGCTGAACCATTTTGCATAAAAGTTTTAAAATAAACTTTGCACAAACAACCAAAAAAACAAAAAAAACAAAAAAAAAAAGGTTTAACAAAACCTATCAAGTACAATATTAGTGGTTTGACTTTTCGCGGTAAAACGTCGACAGAATCTTAAAATAAACAACCTTTTCAAAGAATTGTGTGTAATTACTGAATTATAAACTAAAGGTATGAAGACTATAGTACTAAGACAATTTTAAAAATGTTTGTTTTCCCTCTGGTAAGTGACAAACAAAAAAAAATACCTCAGTCAAATGTTTTTATCAGATTTCTGAGCATCTTTTTTTTAAATTTACAAAAAAGTTGTTTGCTGAACCATTTTGCATAAAAGTTTTAAAATAAACTTTGCACAAACAACCAAAAAAACAAAAAAAACAAAAAAAAAAAAAGGTTTAACAAAACCTATCAAGTACAATATTAGTGGTTTGACTTTTCGCGGTAAAACGTCGACAGAATCTTAAAATAAACAACCCTTTCAAAGAATTGTGTGTAATTACTGAATTATAAACTAAAGGTATGAAGACTATAGTACTAAGACAATTTTAAAAATGTTTGTTTTCCCTCTGGTAAGTGACAAACAAAAAAAAATACCTCAGTCAAATGTTTTTATCAGATTTCTGAGCATCTTTTTTTTAAATTTACAAAAAAGTTGTTTGCTGAACCATTTTGCATAAAAGTTTTAAAATAAACTTTGCACAAACAACCAAAAAAAAAAAAACAAAAAAAAAAAACAAAAAAGGTTTAACAAAACCTATCAAGTACAATATTAGTGGTTTGACTTTTCGCGGTAAAACGTCGACAGAATCTTAAAATAAACAACCCTTTCAAAGAATTGTGTGTAA